GTTCAGATGTGGAAGATGCCATGGACTGTATTCACAAAGCAACTTTCAAAACAAATATAACATTCATATTGACAGTCACCATCAAGAGGTGGATCGAACCTTCAGATTCAAGACGGCTCTGTGGAAGACGACCACTCTGCTGTCTTGATTTTTGGTGAGTTCATTAGGAGTGTGTAGCAATTTGTCATCCAGCAGTGACACGGCAGACTCAAAACAATGGCTGGTCTCAACCAAAAAAATGATGAAGCAAGAAGAAACTAATGCTCAATTATAACAACTCTACTAATTTTTAACTCACATCAGCCCTTTCTAGAAAACAGTCACAAAAAATATCAGGAACTCTTGCAAGTTTTAAGATCCTCAAGCTTCTTGGAGCTATGCAAGACTCAGTAAAAATCTGGGTTTGGATGAGAACTGTTTGGTAATGCTGTCTGGTGACCAACTGAGACAGCAGTGTGTCCAGGTGGCCAAGAAGACCAATAGCATCTTGGCTTATATCAGAAATAGTGTGGCCAGCAGGACTAGGGAAGTGATCATACCTCTGTACTCAGCACTGGTGAGGCCACACCTCGAGTATTCTGTTCAGTTTTGGGCCCCTCTCAATAAGAAAGACACTGAGGTGCTGGAGCCTGTACAAAGAGGGGTAACAGAGCTGGTGAAGGGTCTGAGAACAAGTCTTACAAGAAGCAGATGAGGGAACTGGGGTTGTTTAGCCTGGAGAAAAGGAGGCTGGTGGAAGACCTTATTGCTCTCTGCCTGAAAGGAGGTTGTAGCGAGGTGGGTGTTGGTCTCTCTTCCCAGGTAACAAGTGATAAGACAAGAGGAAATGGCCTCAAGTTGCACCAGGGGAGGTTTAGGTTGGACATCAGGAAAAATTTCTTCACTGGAAGGCTTGTCAAGCATTGGAACAGGTAAGCCAGGTATAGATGTGTCACCTAGAGACATGACTTAGTGGTGGACTTGGCAGTACTGGGTTAACAGTATGACTCAATCATCTTGAAGTTCTTTTCTAACTTAAATAATTCTATGATTTCTACACTGGCTAGAGCAAACTTACTCCAAACAAACATCATTAAACAGAATCTGCTGGTTTTGACAAAGTTTTGTAAGGAAACTAAGAGTTAGTCAGGGTGGATGAAGTCACTCAAGTAGTTCTGTTAGATCTTATTAGAGACACTACAGCAGTTACTTCATAATACCCTCCCAGCAAGGCAGCCAGTGCTGATTTGTCACTTGGTCTGCTCAAAGGATATAAAGATTAAGAAAGCTTAAAGACCATTAATCAAGCACTCAGCCCTGGGGCAAGGAAATTCCTTGTATAGACCTAACCTGGTGATTGAAATCCTCCCTTGCGCTGTGAAGACAAGAGTGATACAATACTAAAGGCACTGCAATATTGCCCAGTCACACTTCACTTTTCTAATGGTTTCCTTTTGGATGTCTAAGAGATGTCCAGAAGATCTGATACAAAAATCAAACAAAACATGACATGAATAAGGGTGTTGCTATTTCTCCTAGTGCACATTAAGAAGAGCCAACACCATTCCCAAGAATTCCATCCAGGAATCAATAAAGGCAGCAGCAGGTGATTTATGAAGACTTGGCAATTCATTGCTTGGCCCTAAAAAAATGGAAACTGACACAACAATAATATTTCTTTTTTTAAAAGGCAATCATTCTCCCAGGCTTCCCAGTTCCCGTCTATACCACATCTTTCTCACAGTCTTGCAGATGGTAAAGGACATAGCTGTGGCTTGTTAAATATGGAATAGCTCCTCTCCTATGGCAAAAGCATGAGTTGGGGATTTCACTCAGGCCTGTTCTACCTCCTCTTGCCATCGCTGTGGACAGAATTGTATTTCTGTGCTGTGTACAAGAAAATAATGCCTTGAAAAATTGAAGTAAGTGCAATCTTGCAAATACACTTGACCCTTAGAAGACACTGAGGATTTGAGTGGTGCATGTGGCTCTTGTGAACTGTCACAGAAACACACAACCTTGCCGCAGAGGTTGTCCAGCCATGATAAATGTGGCTCACAAGAAATTAACATGAGCAGGTGTTGATAAGTATGAGGGTTTTCCCTTTTGGTTGATTAGTTTTCTGTTAGACCAACGTGCTGCATCAAGACATGCTCCAGCCACACCAGGTGAGGTCGAGTGAAGGGGAAACCATGAAAAAACACCCTAGAGAAAGGTGAGGGGAGCAAGGTTGCTTCTTTTAGCATAAGCCTGCAGCTAGATTGGAGTAAGTGTAACACAAAACCACAGAAGGGCTGGCTTGCAGAAAAGAAGGTCTTTGAGATTAGTGTATTGTCTCTCTCATTTATGGCTTTCTTTAGGCAGCTGTACTAGGATGTAGGAGACTGTCTGGTGTGAAAGTTCAGAAATGGAATAATTAGATTCAATGGCTTGATTAGGGATTTTATGTGTGAGGCAGCTTTGATTGTGGAAAAAATTAAAGCATGTTCTTGGGAGGTTTCTCATAACACTAGTACAAGTAGGTAGATGAAGAGATGTTAAAATTCTAATTGTTTCTTTTATCTTTCCTGTGATAGAGACAGAATTCTGTTTTAAAGACATACCAAAACCCAGGTCTTTCATCTGGAGTGTAAAATTCATGTGTTCCCTGACCTCATGTGTCACATGGGTAATGAAACAACGTAAATCAGAAATGTTAAAAGTTGAAGTTTGTTAATATTACTGCTGAAGCTCTAGTCTCTTTCCCAGTTAAACTGACAGGTCCATAGTCAAAATATATATATTTACAGATTACAACGACCACAAAGAAAAAAATTAATGGACACCCAGTGAGAAACAAATGGAAATGCAGGTTTCAGTTGACTGTTTGCAAAGTAAAAAAAAATAAACAAACAACAAAAAACACCACCATACAAACAACTTGCATTTTAAATGGGGCAATAGACTTTCTTTGTATTGTACTACCACCTTACTCTTAAGAATATCTTCTGGTGATTTACATGCTGTGGGGAGAATTTAGTAAATAGCATGCATTTTGCATTTTCTACCTGTGTTTCCTTCCCACTTTTTTAGCTGTCTGGGCTGAAGCAGTCACCAGGATACAGGAATGTATCTTCCCTACTTGAGGAAGACATTACATACTGGTATTTTGGGGTCAGTAAACAAAAGAAGATGGACCCCTATCCGCCCCTCCATTTGTTTCCACCCTTGCCAACCACTTCAGAACAACTGGTAGAATCTGATGTAGATCAGAGGTGGTGAGAGCTCACAAAGCAACACAAAGCCTTTCGGGGCAATGGACAGAGGCCAGTTCAGCCAGTGGACACAATGAGTAAGGTGTTTTTCTCAGGTGCCCACTGGTCTTGGATTTATTTGAAATGAAAACTCACTTCCGTCTTTCCCTCTCTCTCCTTCCATAAAATCCATGGGAAGTCTTAAAGAGAATCTGAAAACAGGGACATTTCCATATATCTCATTTCACATAGAGAAATCCAACTCATTAACTCAAAAAAGTCAAGACTATGCCAAAGCGTACTACACACTTGAGATAATCACAGGTAAGTCTCATGTTGCATTTTTTTCCCATATTAATGGATTGTGAAAGCAACTGGAAACTAGTTCACATTCATTTAGGTGAACTACTGCTGTCCAATCTCACCCCACAAAACCCCCTACTTTTTCTCCAGCAGACGATAGAAAGGAAGCCAGTCTTGAAGTTAGAAGGTGAAATCCTGGCTCCAGTGTATTTGTTTGCCAAATCTGAATTTACTTCAACAGAATTAGGATTTTCCCCATAAAGATTTACCTATAATAAGCAGGGGAATGTCTAAATGGCAAAGTAGAAAACCAGGTTACGGAGACTTTAGATCCCCATTTCATGCCCCCAAGCCAAGCACTGCAATAACACCTCACATAAGAATATCGTCTTGGCCGAGTTCACAACAATCAGTTTTCCAACTCAAAAGATTCATGTTATTACTAAGTTTTTTGCAGGTAATCCTCCTAACAGAAGAATAAAAAATAACAGAGATGAAGTGCTTCTTTCATCTTTACAGACAGTCTCTTGAGAACAACTATCACTGCCACATATGGTGATTCTGAAGCTACATCAATTTTATTTTCCTTTGCAACCTATTACTGACCTGATTTTCTCCATTATTAGTGCTACCCTGACCATTCCGCTTAATGCTACTGTAAAGGTACCTCTTCAAATGAGAGGGACTGAATCAGTATGAACGAGGGAAAAAAAACAAGCAAAAAATTGAAATTCTTCATCAGAATGAACACAAGCGGCCAGAAATAAGAAAAGACACATGAACAACAATTGAATCCGTGCAGAGCAATGCAGTGATCGAGATAATTCAATCAGCACTGCTCCTAGCATGACATTTAGGGCTGCAATTCCAACAGTACTTCTAAAGAGTATATTTTATGCAAGACATGGAAGTTAATGATTTCTTTCTTAATCCTTGCTTCAGTTCCTAAAGCATTTCTCTGTGTGTGCTAATTGGGATGGATGAAAATTCAGTAAGCAAAGCAATTTTCCTGGGTTTTGTTTTCTTAACTGCCTGAACTCTAAAAAAGCATCTATTTTTCTTCTCCATTGCCAGATACAATGCTGTAGCATGGATGCAGCATTCCCACTCAGGATCCAGTCTTAAAGCTACCTGTGAGTAATGCTGACAGCTAAAACTCAGTATCAGCACAGTGAAAGGAATGGCTGCATATGAAAAAAACAAAACAAAACAAAACACGAATTACTATTCTTTTTCCTGTCAAGTTACCTATTTTACTTGAACGTTGTCTTACTATCTTATTTATTTACGAAATTTTTTTTTATTTTAAGACTAATTCTACTAGGACGTTATTATTTACATTGCTTCTTTTGTATCCTTTACCTTTCTGAATGACTTAAATTAGCTTATACCATATCTAAGTACTGGAATATACACAAGATCACACAGGAACACAGCACATAAACTAAGAGATAGAAATCTCAAAATTGTATTTAGAATACTCACTTGAATAAAGGAGTCCCACAAACAACACATTTGTATATTCCTTGAGCTTTATGATGTGTGTACTCCCCCTCAAAGGCACTGGGAAAACAACAACACTACATTTTAAAAAGAAATAACAGAATTTTGAGGGGTTTTAATTATTAAATTAGCTAAGACTTTAGAAAAATGTTACAGAAAAACCCCATGATTTAAGAGTTGGCGGTTGTTTTTTATTAAAGGCAGCAAATAAAGCAGGCACAGGAAAAGGGGAATGTCCTCATTAGTCTGCCTCAGGTGTTATACATCATGCAAGAAGTGAATTGTCCCACAGTTCAAAGGACAGAACAATAACAACAAAACGGGAAAATCGGGAATCCTCCCCCAATTGGCAAGTGAAATGTAAGTTTTTGTAAACAGAGAATGTTTGCTCCATGGCTCAAGGCGACCCACTTCTGTTTTTAGGACAGTGTGGGTGGTGAGCTTGGGTGCTGAGGCCGAGGCGGGAAGCACCCGGGCGCGGCTCAGGCCGCCATGGGCTGCCAGGGTGACGGAGGCATTGTAGCTGAAAATGAAATAATTGGTCCATGATTTCAAGCTGTGTGCGCCTTATATTTTTAGTTGAAAAGCAATATTACAGCTTTAAGGGAATATTTTTCTAAGTTAACAATCTAAAAGGCTAGGAGGTCATTCATCTAATACGAATCAGCTGCGTGAGCCCAACAAAAAGCCTATGTGCTCAGCAGCTTGTTTTTATTATCCTTTCACCCTTTTTATGAGGTCCAATTTTTTTTTTTATAAACAGGATTTTTAAGAATGACCTAATCTCCGATTGTTTGTGTGCACTAAATCATGTTGTTGGTCCCGTACACAAGAGCGAGGAGGGCTGGGTGAAGGCAGAGGCCAACGCGCCCCTGCCCATCCAGGGCTGCGGGAGGACGACAGGGGGGCTGGGGGGCAGGAAGCATGGCTGTCCCCCCGCAGCTTCAGCCTCCGGGACGCCCCGTCAGGGAGAGGGCTGCCGATAAACTGGGACCCCACGTGCGGTGGGGAGCCCTTTCGGGTCACGAATGGAAAGAAGCAGTTACATCATTAGTAGGTTTGGAGCAGAGGTAAAGCCAGGGCCTTATGCCAAGCTCAATGGTATAAATTAGAAAACCAAAAATGGCTAGGCCTTGGCAAGTTACCTTCATGCTGGAATCAGCTGAGAGAGAGACTTTATTCACTAAAAACAGTCTTGCAAGTCCTTTTTTTTTTTTTTTTTTTTACCTCCAGGACTCAGGGCTGGCTTCCAGCAACTAAAGCCATGTGAGGGCAGTTATTGAAAATTTTTGACATTCCAACCACAAATGAGCCAATAAATACCTTCTCCACATGTGCTTCAAAAAGAAATTGGAGTGGGGTGGAAAAGAACTAAATTATGCTACCTTCTTTCTGCAGCCAAAACGTCTATACTTACAATGGCCACCTTCAAAACTCCAGCCTCCTGGCATGGGGCCATTTCCCTCGTGGTTCTGCTTACTGCGATGTCTTCCAAAAAAAGTGTACCTAAACTGCTATTACTTCCACACATTTTGTAGTAAACTAAAAACAGACTCTAAACATGAGCCCGGTGACTTTATAAGACATGCAGTGTTCATTAAACGAAAAAGTCACATAAGACCCCTGGCTTCAGCCCCCGTGCTGCAGATGCTTGTCTTTGCAGTGGTGTTAATTTGTAGGGCTTAGTAAACAAGTGTAGAAATCCTGGGGGGGAAGGGGGGGAATATACAAAAAAAAACCCCAAACCCAAAACAAACCAATAAACTTGGTGGGGAAGGTGAGGAAGCATCAGTGAGAGGCGGGGTAGAAAAGAAAGATGTTTGTGTTTTGAGGACTGCGTTTTCTTCATCCTGCCTTACCTTTCAGTCCCCTTCTCCTGAGTGACATGGTACTGCAAGGGTGTCAGCCGCTTCCTCAGCTCCTCCTGGGAAAAGACCACCTTACAGTCCTTTTTATCCCTACATGACCCTGTAAAGGGAGAGGATAGGGGAGAAGGAGCCTTTTTAGCTTAAATCCTGAATAATTGCTTTGGCAGACCGCCACAGCATAGCTTCTGCATTCACTTGTCAATGACCAGACCGGTCCCTAATGCACGAAGAATGGCTCAGCTGAACTGCAGCTGATTATTTCTTCAAATCCAAGTTTAAAAAAGAATTTTGCTTGCGAGCCAGGTGATTCCACTGGAGCAGTGACAATGTGCTACAGCCAAAGCCCTTCCGCGTGTTATACACTAAACTGTTGCACGTGCTATTGTTCACAAGAAAGTAGCATTTTTCCCACTGTTAAAAACCAAAACAAACAAACAAACAAACAAAACAAAAAACCAAACCAAACCAAACCAAACAAAAAACAAAACAAAACAAAAACCCAAACCAAACCAAACCAAACCAAACCAAAAAAAAAAAAAAAAAAGCCCAGCTACAGCTGAAATGGTCTTTACAAGACATCTATATTGGAGACTTATGGTAATGGGCATATGATGTCCAGCCACAACATACCCTTTAGAGTAGCAGAAAAACAATTCTAAATCTTTAGAATTCCAATAAGGTTGATTTAACTTCTAGTTGAATCTTTGTCATTTTACTTTATAATATTAACAATTGTATTTTTTCACCACTGAAGCACTAGAAGAGGAGCCCTGAGGAGCAAGTACTTTACGCACAAAGCAGTACAAGGTTGTTCAACAATAAATTTTTTGTAAAAATTAGGGTTGCTGTTGAAATTACCCGCCTTTGAAAATCTTGTCTTACACTTTGCTTAGTTCACACAGAAAATCCAAGGAGTACCTAAGGATTACTGTAAAAAAACATCACATAGTGAAAAAATTCACATAACATTGGGAAAGGAGAAACAACAATAAAGTTACTTCTGAGAATGAAAACTCCCAAAGCAGTAACATAAACTGCCCAATATTCAAATAACTTTGATAACCGCTTGCAGAAATTACCTGACAAAGTATGGCAGGGAAAAAGCACTCTAATTATGACAGTAATTAAAATATGGTACAATTAGAAATAAACAGTCCGAACAAAAATATTTTTTGCTAGTAATGTATATACACTCATAAAAAGACCAATTGTGTTCCCAAAGTAGAGGGAACAGAGCTACCCATCTGTATGTCATTTAGTACAGGAGAGGCAATGGCAGGTTTAAATTACATGGTATTGGATTGCAATTTCCTAACATTGGATGCTTTTCTGCTTTTTTACCTTGAGTCATTACTAAGGAGTGTTCATAAAAAGTAGCTTAAAGCACAGATGCTTGCAAATCATTTAAGAAAAGATGTTTCTTTTTTCCTCCCCCTCTTCTTTTCTCATTTTTTTAATGTGTGGGGGTGGATGAATAGGGGAGAGAGAAAAAGAATAATGCTGTTGGTCACTACTGACTAACCCTAGGAAGTATTTTCAGGAAAAAAAAAAGTAAAATTGAAAACATCTGATTGAAGTAAATAGTGCAAACATAAAAAGCTTTACTAGTGAAAGAAAGGTATTGAAAAGCGACTTTATTTCATAGATTAGAAATTACTTTTGATCTAAACATTCTTAAAAACAGATTGTTTTCCACTCTGAGCCATCTCATTAGCTGTGCTGCAGAGCCTTCCTTTTAATGGCAAGCTTTGAAAGAGCACTGCTGTATGCCTTTGTTAGCTTCAATCTTATTTGGAAGAGGGATAAAGATTTCATTCCAGGTCTCTTTGTTTGTCTTTCAAGAACCACTAAAGCAGTATTCACACAAATTTTGCAGGAATGTGCCCTGTGCCATAGCTTACAAATTATTTGGTTTTGGTGCACTTAAAGGTCACCTTCCAAATTAGCAAAATTTTCCTACATCCTGGCTTTTCAACCTTAAATGTAAATATTGTTTCCTAACTGTAAGTGAGGTTTGTTCTTTGTAACATTTGGTTGCTTATTTAAAGATGTCAAACGTTGGAGGTTTTTATTCTCCGAACTTGCAGGGCCCTAGGACTAATAAGTCTTTCAAAGTACAGCTAACAGGGAAAGGAAGCAGATGCATTATATAAATAGCCATTGTTATGTTGCATTACGCAGCTCAGAAAGAAACTGTTTGAGAGATGGTCTTTCATCTGTGATTTCAGTATTAAAAAGTACCTCAGAGAGCAGCCAAGAATCATACAAACCATCACCTCTTCACTTTCAAAAACATCTACTACGTATTTTTTTAATTCTATTTGCTCTTTGGATGTTGCAAAAATGCAAACTAAGTGTATCTTCACTTTGGTAAAAGTCAGAGACAATTCTGAATGTTTTAAAGAATGGTCAGTATTCCCCCTTCATCCTCCTTGAGTCATTTTTCACTTATTTTAGAAATCTAGTGTTCCTCCATCAATGGTATCACTATATCCACAAGAAAATTTCTGTTTGTCACTTGATCTGCAACACAGATCAGGAGAATGCATGTTATAAAATGCATTTTCCCCATTGTTTTTAATAATTAACTGTGTGTTTTACAATACAGACAAGTATTTATGTCTACAGGGGAATTTTGCCAAACTGCACTAGGGTAAACTGCAATCCACCCCAACAAAGGACTGTCCAGGTTTGTGATTTAATGGAGCATACATCAGCAAAAATCTAAAGTTGCCCTACTAGTCATAAAGGAAATTTCCTGGTCCAGCCCTCAGCATTCAAGAACAGCCCTATTCAATTAATCACACTTATTATTTAACTGCTAGCAGCAAAAAAAATAGCTCAGTAAATTTGATCGCACTATTTCCACATTGCCAAAAAAGCAAAGGAGGTAAAGCAAGACCCACTCCTGACTGCAGAGAATGCAAGAATGCCTTATTTGAAACAGGGCTAGCCTACATGCCTCAGAAAAAATGCAACGAATCCTAACAACTGGATTGAGATTCTACGAATGCAGTCCTTTGGTCAGGAAAAAAAATACATGCAAGAGGAACAAAGTGCTCAACTTGCAGCACTGGAGTGGCTGCTTCCATTTTTTCAGCTGTTCATTTACAGCATATATGAGATACCTGCTGCATTCAAGCCAACTGTCTGTATCTTGGGAGGAGATAACATAAAGCTACACAAACATATGCCAAATATAAGAGAAACTGCCACCAGTAATGCAGCTGTTCTCAAACTGGTTATTAAAGCAGAGAATGAAGGTGCAGGCTGACCACCTTCCTGGTGGTTCTCCTTCAGAAGGGACCAGGCATGGCTTGTAGAAAGGGCTCCCATAAAGGCAAGAAACTTCTTCAGCAACTCAGCCATTAAGGCAAGCTCACAGTTTGTATTTATTATGCAGCTCAAGACAGAAGAGAAAAAAGGTCAGCAGTTTTACAAATGGTGTGCCATTAGTGTGACTGCATTAAAGGTGAGACTAAGTTAAATACACTGAGAGCAACAGAGTCTGAATTCATTGGATCTACATTAGGACTCTGGATTGGATCTCGCTTGTTCTTTGGAGGTGATGCTCTCAGCAATGACTTTTAGAAGAGCCCGGGACAGCTATGTTCCCAAGTGCAGTTAGACCCTGCTGTTAGGAGAGGTGAACGCTCGCCTGCAGGGGCAGACAACATTCCCTTTGCATTCCTCTGCAGGATCAGGGAACAGATTAAATCTCTCTAATCGGCACTCCTTGGTACCTTTGCTGGGGTTGGCACTCACTAGAAGGGCAGTGTGTAGGCAATCGAACCTCAAAAAGGCACCAGCCTTTAGCTTTTTGCCAACAGTTACTGCAGCCCTGAAAGCTGTTAAGATCCCGAAGCAGGATAGAAGGCTTTGAGAAGAGAAGGCCAGGCTCACAAATCTTAATGCCTACACAAAAAAAAAAAAAAGGGCTGAAGAGAGTGAAATAAACACCAACAGAAACCCTTCTGGGGCCATCACGGAATTCCTGTGCTTAGGAATGACCTTTCTGAAAACCAAGGCAATGCACGCTGCCATTTACTCTCCACCTGCAGACTATGGGCATTTCAGAGTGCAGCTCTGCAGTCGTCCTCTGTACAAATGAAGCGAACAGGAAGTATTTTCTGGGTGTTGACCTGATAATGAAGACATTAAGCATCTCACGTCACATATAAATTCCAATTTCAATTGACCTTTTCAAATCTGTGGTTCATAGCCCAGGCATCTGCCATTTCCTTCCATACAAGCCATCACAAGAAAACGAGCAGCGAGATACGTCCAGACAGACAGACAGAAGTTAGCAGACCATTACTCCTCACCACTCAGCCCTTCACCTGCTCCAGCAAGCCAGAGGGTGGTGATTAGCATCTGACATGCTCTGAAATATGGTGGCATTTTGCCTGATGGCTTTCCTTCTTCAAATAGTCTTTTGACCCATTCTAATGATTTTCGCTTAGATTTTGTTGCTCCACTGCATGGAAGAGACAACAGCCATTTTCCCCCTTCTATGTATACCTACGTTCCACTAGCACTAATGGACATTACAGTCATGCACTGAGCACACACCATTAAGACTTCCTGAGTTAAATACAGCAAGATCAAATGTTCCAGCAGAGCACAGCCATATAATAAATTGGGCTTCTAGTTTTTAGTACTACTTCTTTTAATATACCCAAGCAGTTTTTTAAGTGCCTTCCAGCACATTTTGTTATTCATATACCACCCCAGCCCCAAACCTGCAATGTGACCTGTGGGGGAAGATGCTTGGGAATATCCATAGCTCCAACAACTACATAAGGATCTACAAATGTACATTAAATGACAGGTTCTGGCTCTAAGTATATATCTCTCTGCTTCCCAAAGCCTGTCCCCTGACAAGTGGGTCGTACCTTAGTCATTGATAGTAAATTATATCAAACCAATATTAAAAGGAAAACTGCAAGGTTAAAAAATACTTGCATAAATTTCTTTAAATATTGTTATATGTGGTATCACCAACTCTCAGCTTTATTAAAAGTGCATTCGCTCATTTTTTTTTTTATTTCAGATTTCATTTACACAGTTTATGCTTCTTGTTTACAGTTTTGCCTCTCT